TAAATAATCTACAAGCCTGACAAAAGGAAAAGGGGGCTTACCTAACAGATGAGCCGGTGGTGGGTGAAGGAAGTCAGAGCCAGAGAAAATGGACGGGGGCGGACCGTCAATCCTGGGGGGTCGTGGAGGAGTCCGAGGAGGTCCGAGGAAGGAGTCCCCTGTCGCAGGGTGAACTCCTTCCCGGGAAGGCGGATGTACGGTACAGCAGTGAACTCCTTCCCGGGTTTAGGCACCAAATGAAGGGGCACACGGACGAAGGAAGCACATGAGACCCGGGCTAACAGTTTGCCAGAGAAGTTCTGCTTTATTCAAGGACTGCGCGTACATTTATAGGGTGCTGTGCTCTGGGGCAGGAGAGAGTGGACGGGGCGGTAACTGATTGGACAGGGCTGGGCAGGAGGTGAGCCTTGACCTGTGACTGGCTGAGGTTTGGCGCGGGTGGGCTTGGGTGTTGGCACCAGGGGGCTTGTTTACTGCAGAGAAGAACCAGGAAGGGCACCATATTGCCAGGGTGTGTCCCTGTTCAGGCGCCCATGGGGTCCCTACATTCACACCTTTCGAGACATTAAAACAATATACACCTGTGCAAATAAACTCAGAAATTGCTACTCCAGCAATAGATAATCGAAACTAACTAAATATTGATCTCTTACCTTTAAATTCTCTACAGAAGTGACCATTACAGCAAGTACTTTCATCATCCTGGCCTATGGCATGTGACAAGGTTTCTTTAGGTCAGAGAATGCCCTTGAGAGGGTGATTCAGCCTGGAAAATATAGTTTCCTGGAACACTGACTCCAACCTCCAGGTTTGGGGCTTTTATCTTACCCGACTGAAAGCATAGTCTCCCCCAGAGAAAACAAACCAAAGCAATACGTCTGTTTTCAAAACCATTTCCTGTTCAAGGAAAAGACGAAAGTTTAAAACTTAACATTCAGGCTTAAAAATGAACTCTATAATCAAATGGTCCCAACTGAATTCTCCAGCTTTTCACTGGTTTCTCAGAGGAACGAGGAAATGATGAAACCCCAGGGATGGAAAGTGGCCCCCACTCAGGAGAGATGAAACTGAATGACGCCCATGGAATCTGCCAATATCTTTCAGTGATATTTATGGACGTGAATCTTAAAGATCAAAAGCTGCTGGTGATGGGGTTCAGGACATGGTACATTGGCATAATGAATATTTTAAGCTGAAGGAATTTGAGAGACAGTATGTGCAGAAAGATCTCTCCAAACTTTCCCAACCCTTCTCCCCTGAAGTGGGTCATAAGACCCTCAGGTGACAGGTGTCCTCCCTATGCCCAGAGGAAAGGAGCATCCTTATCTCTAAAGACACAGGGACACAGAGAAGAATGTGAACAAATGGGCCTTGCTAAATTCCCCCAGTTCATTACCATTAGATCATTCTCTTTGCCTTGTCATATTTCTCCATACTATTCCTTCTTCACCACTCCTACTATACAAAATGCTCAGCTTTAACTAACTGCTTCCTTGGGTCTTCATTTCTTTATGAAGGCTCCTGTGTAAACTTAACATGAAATAAATCTGTATGTTTTTCTCTTGTTAATCCGTCTTTTGTTACAGGGGCCTCAGCCATTAACCTAAGATGAGGAGAAAAAAAAATATTTTTCCTCCCTTACACATTTCTCCATGCCTCACCTCATTTTGTTCAGCATTTTGGGGTTGCAGAAACTTAGCTCTAGGGGCTACGGTGGTGACTGCCAATGCCTGGCACTGACCTTCACAGAGCACAGATGTGCATGTAACTACTACTTCTCATTTCAACAGAAGTAGAAATACCCAGCAAACGTGACAACTAAAAACAGAGCTAGATGGCTTATGGAGAAAACAAAAAAGAAAGAGTCCCTCAGCCCAACCCAAACTTCAGTGAAGGCTGACACCAAACAGATGATGACACCATTGAAACAGTGCCACTGCCCACCCGCCTGCCCCGTCAGTCAGGGAAAGCAGATCCCCACTGGGTCTTGGAGTTCTCGGCCCACCATCTTTGCACTATGTGACCACAGGCACAAATCTCAGTCGACTACTTACCTGCTTTGCTCAGGAGGCCTTCTTTGGCTCTCCAGTTGATCATAGGACCCCATGTCACACTCTCTCTCAAGGTTCCTTGTCCTTATTCTTTGACCATCTCATAGCCCCCTGGACATGTCACAATTATAATCAAATACTTATTTCCCTGTCAGCATTTGTTAAAAGCCTGCCAGGTGCAGAAAGGCAGACTGCTCCCCACTGCACCCCCAGCACCTGACACCATGCCTGGCTTAAGAAACACTCATTGAGTGAATGATTTATAGTAACTTTCCATGTGCTCAGGTCTCACTGGTTGCTCCAGTATTCCAAGCAGCCATGCTACTACCGTTCTGTGCTTCCCTGGATTCCAAGTTCAAGGGTAGCCTCCAAAAGAGAAAAATCTCATGTAGCAACAACGGAGGATGGTATTGTTCCTAAGTGCCCTTAGTTCTGGTCCTATTTACATGCATCATTAGCCTGCAGAGAAAGCACTCTGTTATAAGTGACTTTAGAAATCAAAATCATTAAAATTGAAAACTTCCATTTAAGCCTTTGTGATGTTAAAAGTATCCCCTCTGTGCTTCCAACCCTCTCTCTATGAGGCCTGTTCCAGCTTTTAACCTACCTCGTGGGCTTTTCGTTTGGAGCCTCTTGTGATCTTCAAGCTGTAATTTTTACAAGTGGAGCCCTAAAGCTCTTTAATATTTTTGTTTACCAGAATTATTCATTTCATTTTTGCACGTGTTTGGTAGAATTTTCAGTAGTATACTACAAAATAATTGTGTGGGGCCGGCCCGGTGGCGCACTGCGCTAGTGCGCCGCTTGGGAAGCTCGGAGGCACTCCCGCCGAGGGTTCGGATCCCACATACAGACCGGTTCCCGCTCACTGGCTGAGCGAGGCGCGGG